CACTCCCCTGGTGTGCACTGAGATGGCGATGGAGACTGGGCGCGGTGGCGCATGCCTGTAATCCCAGTGCTCAGGAGGCTGAAAACAGGAGAACCACTACAAGTGCGATCTACGTAGTGAGACCCTGTAGACCCTGTACCTCGTAGATGCTGTATCTCGTAGACCCTGTACCTCATAGACCCTGTACCTCGTAGACCCTGTACCTCGTAGACCCTGTACCACGTAGACCCTGTACCTTGTAGACCCTGTACCTCGTAGATGCTGTACCTCATAGACCCTGTACCCTGTAGACCCTGTACCTCATAGACCCTGTACCTGGTAGACCCTGTACCTTGTAGACCTTGTACCTCGTAGACCCTGTACCTCGTAGACCCTGTACCTCATAGGCCCTGTACCTCATAGACCCTGTACCCTGTAGACCCTGTACCTTGTAGACACTGTATCTCGTAGACCCTGTACTCGTAGACCCTGTACCTCGTAGACCCTGTACCTCGTAGACCCTGTACCCTGTAGACCCTGTACCTCATAGACCCTGTACCTCATAGACCCTGTACCTCGTAGACCCTGTACCTCGTAGACCCTGTACCTCGTAGACCCTGTACCTCATAGATGCTGTACCTCTTAGATGCTGTACTAAAAAAAAAAAATCAAAGAACAAAAAACATATAGACACAATCTAAACATCTCTAAGCATTAGACATCTCTAAGTAGGCAAGCGAAGGTGCACCTCCATATAATGACATACAGCTCTGAAATAAAGAGATCTGAATTGCCAATAGTGCTAGATGTAGATTAAAGAAGCCAGTCACAGAAGACAAGACATGGTATGATTTTATTCATTTGAAATGTCCAGAATAAACAAATCTACAAAAAGAAAGTAGATTAGTGATTGCTTAGAGGTGAGGGCAGGATTGGGGATACTGGGATTGACTGCTAATAGGAACAAAATTTATTTTTTAAATTATTGCAAATATCCTAAAATTGGATTAAGTGATGGTTACACATCTAAAAACTATTGAACTGCATGTTTTAAGTGGACACATTTCATGGAATGTGAATTGTGTTTTAATAAACCTATTTTAAAAATATTTATTTATTATTTTAAAGCTTTTTTTTTTTTAAAAAAAAAGTATTAACATAGTTACCAAACCACTTCTAGGAATCTACCTAAGAGGAATAAAATATACATACACATAAAGATTACTCTTTCCAAATATTCACTTCAGTGTTATTCACATGAGCTACTGCAATCAAGAAAAGATTTAATATGAGACACATAACTTTGGGGATTATTTTACAGTATTCTGCCCAAAGAGTCAAATTCAGAAGGTTGTGGGAGACCTGTCCACACGTGAGAGACCCCAGTAATCCAGCTGAGACCTGTATGAGTTAAGCTGAAGACCTAGAGACCACTGCAACATCTTCCACGAGGCCTGCTGGAGGCCTGGAGCCCACGACAATGTCTTGTACAAGTTATATCCAAGACCTGTACTGGGAAGGCCCGAAGGTCAGTGGTGGAAGCTGGAAACTCTGCGCCAGGAGGATGAAGGATCTTCACCAGCAGGCTGAGGGATCTGCACTGGATCCAAAAAGTGCTGCACAGGTAAGGACCAGAGCACGTCCCGAAAGAACCACAGCTGTCCTGAACAACAGCAAGGAACTGAGCTCTTCAGACGATGAGAACAGCTGAGTTCACGTCAGGAAAGCCCATGTGACAAGCTCCTCTAAGAGAGTCGGTGGTGCGCCATCTCCCCCTCTGGGTCTCCTCACGCTCTTAGCAACCACCCTCAGGTGGGCCTCCCACACTCAGCACCACAGTGACTCAGTTAAGCTAGATGATACAAGCTGACCGTAGCCTCACTAGAAATGCTCTATAATTCTATATGCTGATGTGCTGGTAATAGATACACAAAACATGGTTGCTCCATGCCATTCTACAATACAAAGGAATCAACTACTGGTACCTGGAAGATGTAGATGACCTTCAGAAATGTACCCAGAGAGGGGCCGGGGAGATAGCTCAGTAGAATAAGCGCTTGCCTGGCAAGCGCAAGGGCCTGAGTTCAATTCCCGGTTCTACCAAATAAATAAATAAATAAATAAATAAATAAATAAATAAATAAAAAACAAAGGCAGCAAAAATGTACCCAGAGAAATAACTAAGGCACGGAATGATGTAATCCCACTTGTATGAAATATCTAGATAAAACAAATCTGTAGAGGTAGAAATCAGATCTGTGGGCTAAGAATGAAAACGGGAACGGACTGAAAATAAGCATGACACATTTTTTGAGGTAATGAACATATTCTAAAATTGGAGTCTTGCTTTAATTGCAAAATTCTGTAAAGTTATGAGATGTTTTGATGGCTAAATTTTATACTATTTCTGTATTAGCACCCCAATAAAACTCACTTTTAAAAAATAAGCGTATCTGCCCTACAAAAGACAATAGTAAAACAGTGAAGGGCAGATCAGAGTGAAATCAAATAATTTCAATGCACATATTTGATAAAGGAATTCTATCTGCAGTTCACAAAGAACTCCTACAAGTCATGAAGGAAAATAAAAATCATTCGTTAGAAAGGCACGTCTTAAAAAAGACACTCCGTACGCACCAAGAACACCCCTAAGTGTCTGTGAATACAAAGTTGCTTAACATTGTTAACAGGAAGTCAACTGCAAATTAAACTACTATTAATTACCACTACTCTTCCAGTAGATGACATTACTAAGCATTGCCAAAAATATGGAGTAATTATTATGGGCAGTAGATTTGTACAGCCCTGTGTATTACCTGCTGTTATAGCTTATGCTGAATGCGTATAAAGCCCATGATCTAGCAACTTCAATCCCTCTTAAAGACTTGGAAGATTTAGCGCTTACGCCAAGCAAAAGATAGGTGTGAATGTTCACGGTGGTGTTCAGTTTTAAAAAGCATCCACCTAGCTGTAACATAGATGCATATCAATAGTAACTTGGATAAATACTCAGTGTTATGGTAATACAACACGATACTACCCGAAGTTAAGATAACCAACTGTGGGGTTTGCAGCCGCAACCAAGCACCTAGTGAGCAAAGAGCACCTCGTGCTTCATCTTCGGCAACAGTGGTTTGCCTGGAAGTCTGCTGGAACTGTTACACCATGTACTAGGAAAAGACATATAATCATATGTGATCTTGATCTAGGAATTGCTTAAAAGTCTGTGCAAACATTTTGCTGAGCTATACCTATATTTGTATATTTTATTAAATGCATTTTTAGTGTTGTAACAAAAAACAAGAATGGATTTATGCATCTGCTTCATTTGATAACATAAACACACAATATGTCCTAAAAACTGTTGAAACTTACTCCTTTTTTTTTTGGTGTCACCAGGCATCGAACTCAGGACCTTGCGCTTGCTGGGCAAGCACTTATTTCACTGAGCTACCTCCCTAGCCTGAAACTTACTCCTGAAGTGAGTTGGAACAGGTTGAAGGGATGGCATAGAAGATAAAACTTCTCTGAGTGGATATTTTATGCAGTTTTGGTTTCTGAGTCACATTACTATTTTATGATTAAAACATAAGGCTGTCTCAGTGAGGACGGACACCTGAGTTCACAAAGAGCAGCAGATACGGAGACGTGGCTGGGTCGTCATATCTGCCAGTGCAGTCAGGCCAGGACCGTGTGGGCCCGAGGGCTTTGAGCACAGCTTCTCGGAGCAAACCTGGACGGGCCGCCTCTGTGTCCCAGGGGCTCCGCTCACCGTGCCCAGGCGGCCAGAGGCCAGGCCCTGAGAAGACGAGCTCAGCATCACGTGTTCCGGGGTCTCCGACTCGCCTCAAGGAGTGCTGCTAGAAGAGGCGCCCTGCAGCAGGGCTTCTGAAAGTGAGAAATAAGCTTGGATTTGGGAGTTTGTTTATAGCTACAACTCTGAGCCCCGCCCAAACCACAAAAGATACAAAACTGAGATGGATAAAGGTGAGGAGACAGCACTATATTAAGAAAATTAGGGAGAGGGACAAGGTTTCCTGTCATCCTGAGAAAAGTGAGAATGGGAACATAATAGACTATTAGAGCTGGGAGCAAACGAGGGACACCGTTCTATCCTTTTCTTCTTAAGACAAAGACACCAGGGTCAGAGGTTGCTGATCAATGAGCTCGCAGCAGAGACGGAATCACCTCCTCCCGGGACCTTGGCGCTGCCGCAGGTCTCCGCTTCAGGCAAGCAGTGCTGCAGCAGCGTCTGCAGGCAGCTGAACTGGTACCAGTTCCGTTAGGTGGTCCTGGCCTCGGATTGTCCTCGTGGCTGAGCTGGAAAGAGCAGTCACCTGAGCTCCACTCAGGATTGCCCCAATTCTGAAGTGACAATACAGTCCTCTCCTCACTGGCACCTCACTCCTCTTTCACCAAGCAGGAACAAAACGTAGGATGATCAAGAAACGTCTTCCAAAGAGTGGCCCTCTCACTGCCTACCGGCATTTCTTACTGTTTGTATTACTTTTTAATGATTTGAATCGCTTATATAAAGTAGGCAAAATTAAAGAATGTGTCTCCGGTTGAGAATTTGCCCCCCTATCTTTGGTGCTTTATTTTGGTGGACAACAACGCCCCCTACATGAGGGTAGCAACAGGAAATACCTCTGGCATTGTTTTGATTGACAATTCAGACTATTTTGCCACACATTGATTCTTTCATTTATAAACTCTCATTTTGTGCAGCGTTGTTCAGGACTTGGTGACCAGCCATCAATGTCACCCCCTACCCTGCCCTGAGGCCCTCTATAATTTGGGTAGTGTCCCCTTTGTGTCTCATTTGGGCTGCAGGAGCTTATCCTTACCTCCGACGCCCTCCACGGCTGAGCTAGGATCATCACTAAGGCAGAAACCTGCTAGTCTTTCTTTTCCATTTCTTCTTGGCCCTGGAGGTTAAAGGGGGTCATTGTGACATCATCGCCCATTAGCCAATCAGGACACACCTCCCTTCAATGCCCTCCTTGCCCGTAGGTGCTTCAATGGAAGGAGGGTGCCAGGAGGGAGGCCTGGGCTAAGTTGGAAGATGATAATTACAACATGGATTGTGTACATTCTTGCCCGGAAAGGCGTAGGACTCCCCTTCCCACCAAAGACTAGCTCGGTGAGCAGAGCTGGGGGTAGCCGTGTGACATAGTCTCTCTCTGAGGTCCTCCCCCGTGCCCCTTACTGCACGTTGGAGAGATCTTACAGTACCCCAGTTCTGAGGAGAGCACTGGGAGTAGGGAGAGCTGGGTTCCTAGCTTCTCTAAGGTCATTAACTTCGCAATTTGTTCCAGGACATTGAAGTTGTGGAAAGTGAGGCTGTGTCTGTAGTGGAGCATTGGTTGAAAAAAGTGAGTAAATGTTCTTCTCTGAGTCAGGCACCCCAAATTCTACCAGTCGGTCTCACGCAGGGTGGGGGTCTGGACTCCTGTGTCCACACACTTGGGGAACCCTGTCTACAGTGGAGTCCAGGGGACTCTGGGACTCTCGTCCTGGTAAGAGATGCACTAGTGTCACCACTAACTGGCCCTGCTTTGCCAGCCTCCTGAGGTAGGGGCTTCGGTGCAAGAGCGTCTCAGGAATCCCTTGAGTGGGCCAGAGACTTAGGGAGCACAGGACTGCATGGAAGGAGGTGGCAGAAGAGCTTAGGGCAGGCCCGGGGATGAGGAGGAGGTGTGTACAGAGGCGTGGCTTGTATGCTTCGGGAAGAAAAAGGTGCAGCGGGGGAGAGGAGGGCAAAGGGCGCTTTCAGGACTTCACTCACTTGCAGACGGAAGAGGAGGCTTCCAACGGCATTAAGGAGAAGCTGTCCACCAACACCTCTCCCACTCACGGCCAAGACATACATGTGACCAGAGATGTGGTAATGGAGTCTGCAAAGATTGCTTTGGGATGGCGGGCATGGGGAAGGACAGGACAGCCCACCGTGAGGGCTGGGGGCTGTCCTCCCGCTGCTGTCAGGTGGGGCGGGTTCACAGTGGCCAGCAGTCACATGGGACCCCACCTGGCTTCCTAGGTGAGGCACCAACTCTCAAAGGCCGATTTGTGCACCAACCCGAGTCAGGAAGTCCTGGAGGAGAGAACAAGAATCCAGTTCATAAGATGGAGGTAAAGCAGCCCTGTGCCCCACGCCCCAGAGGGGAGGGCGCAGGGGAAGCACGCGCTTCTCTCTCCCAGGTCCTTGGCCTGCGCGACCCCACAGCTGCTCTTCTCTCGGGATGCAATCTCCTTTGGCTGAGGAATTTCTTGACCTTGTTTTGGGATCTTCAGGGAGTATTTTGCTGTCTTGACAGCCCTGCTCATGCCAGCGCTGACAATAACTTGAGGGTTTGGGAAACTGGGTTTGCTCTCCACTTCCTAGATACTTCTGAATACATTCACAGTTCTTATTTTTGTACTTGAATTGTTCAGAAATGACTGCATTTTAAAGTGCTACAAGGAAATAAGTTTTTAAAATGCAAAATCCAGCTCTCTTCTGCAGCTAGGTGTATGGTGGCTTCCCAGCACCCAAAGCTAGAATTCTGCCACGCAGCCACACGATGTGGCTTCAGGGCTTCCCACTGTCCTGCAGTCCTAGCTGCCACCCGGCAGTCTCTCTTGGCTCTGAAGACACTGTCTCAAGGCAGAGGAGTGTGCAGGGCCTGAGGCTGCTGCCTTTCTATGGGGTGGAGGCTTCTGACGTGCGTCCTCTTTGCAACATTTTTAAATCTTGGCTGTATAGTTTAACTAGGTTTAAGTTTTCGAGACAGGCTTTAGGAACCAGTCAGTCATGTACACACAGGGTTTGCACTCTGGAGGTGCTTTGGAGATTTTAAAGTAACAGCCTCTCGTCTTGCCTTCTGTGAGGCGTCAGTCAGGGACCTGTATCTCTTGGTGAAATGGTACTGGCTTCTGCCCTTCTGATAGATAAGTACAGATAGTGTTTGCTGCCCTCCTGGAGGAAAGGCAAAAGAAGAAAATCAAGCTGTAGCCCCCAATTTCAGAGTAGAGCATGCTAGATGGGTGAGGAGCGGGAAAGTTAACAGCTTCCGGAAAGTCCGGTGTGCGCGGGGCCCCCAGCACGGGCATCGCTGCTGTGTTCTCAGGGACAATCTTCGCACATGGGCTATTTGCTTGGATTGGCTCTTGAGCAGGACGTTACGGGGAAGCAGAAACTTTGGGGCAGAAGAAGCCGTGCCCTGGGCAGCCCTGTGCCTGAGCAGCGGGCTGCAGCCCCGTCTGCTCCGAGGGCGCTTTCCCGTGGGCTGGGATGGATACTGTCTCCTTGGTGACCTGTCTTTCTCCGGGCCACACTTGGCTCTGCCCGTGGGGGTCATGTTCCTGCTCACACTTCCTCTACCATGGCCCAAGGGCCCTGGAGAGGTGGCACTTTTGGCTGCTCTTTTGAATGCCCCAAAGCCTTAGAACATAGCGTCCACCAGGAAGGAAATGTCAGTGGACACAGCCATGGGCATTCAGAGGACAGAGTGGCCGCCTCTGAGGGAGAGCAGGACATAGAACCGAAAAGGATGTGAAGCGGGCCAGAGAGCAGAAGGCAAGCCAGGAATGAGGAGATAAAACAAAAACAACTCGGAGGCGCCCATAGCTTGCTTGATGCAGACTTCTCTGGATGTGTCTCTAAAGCCTAGTGAATGTGGTAGGATAGTGAATGTAAGAGTGGGCCATGGGGTTAAGGGAGACGTCAGAAGGGAAGAGGCCACAGGCCGCTGACCTCCCGATACTGGTGGAGGTGAGCATCGGTTCCCTAGCTCTGCGGAACTGCTGGCTGCTTGCTCAGCATGACAGCTCAGGCTGCTGTGCTTCACCCAGGTAGTGAGACAGCCTTTCAAAGAGGGGCAGGTGGCCAGCTCCAGAGCTCATGGTGATAGGCATCCTGATCCTGGCAGTTTCATTCTGCCGTGTCAGGAGACTCAGCACCACATGTCTGAATGCATTTTGCAGCCATACCCGCATCTTCCAAGTGCCAAGTGAGATGATGGGCGAGGTCATGCAAGACCGGATCGAGCAGGTGAGACGCAGGTGAGCCAACAGTGGTCTGCCTCCCACTGGGTGCATGGGCGTGGCTGCCGCCTGTACCAGGACAAACTGGGCAGCGTAGGAGCACTCTGTGAGCCCGGGGCAGGAGGACAGCAAGCCTGAGCCCAGCCGGGCAACAGTGAGTAGAACAGCATGCGCTGGGAACGCAGCTCAGCATGGTGGCCCTATCCGTAGTCCCCAGAAGCATGTACCTCCCCCCCCAGGGCTGAGCCCTTCTCAGGGCTGCCATCCCGTGTTGTATGCCTCCCAGAAGGGCCCTGGGCCTCTTCCTGGGACCCCACCAGGTGTGTGCAGGCGGCACTGGCTCTGCCTGGGTGCTGTGCTTTGGGAACGCGATCTGGGTGAGCTCTGTGGCCTGGCAGCCCCTCCGACTGTGGCCTCTCCCCACTGTGTCCTGTAGCTTATCCCACCTGACCTGTGACTCAGCTCAGGACTCAAGCGTCAGATCTGCCTTCGCAAACTGTTGAGAGCAACAGGTGAGAGGGCTAGTGGGTGAGACCTGGAAGAAGACATCATCCTAGGCGGTGACAAAGCAATGTCTGCATGGGCACTGGTTAAGCTTAGCCTTTCCTGTCGGTGAGGGGCCTGGGGCAAGGGGCAGGAGAGGAAGCAACTGTCATGGGCCCCTGAAGTGCCTTTCTTAAATTTTGGCAGGGCTTGTGAAGTTATAGGTTAGCTTCTCTGTCCTAACGGTGCTACAGATACTGGAGCCCCTCTGGGGTCACGGCAGTGGTCCCCCTTTCCGACAGCTCCCGGGCAGTGCTGCTGCTATCGGCCTTGCTTGGAGTCACAGGCTCACAGAGCTGAGGTGTGGTGGTGCCGGCTGCAGATGCTGGGGCCACCACAAATCAAGGGCGTGCATGTCTTTGGGTCACAACAGTGAGGGTATTTGTGCTTTGGGTGTTGCAAGGCCTAGGCCGTACCCACCCCATGAGGCAAGAGCTGGTGCCGGCCACGGAGGAGGCAGAAGCGTGATTTGCATACAAGAGGCCTCCACCTGGTTAAGAAGTCCATGGAGAAGTGGCGCTAGCATTTAGCAGGCACTTCCTGTGCACCACAGTCTGCACAACGCGCTTTGCCCTTAACCAAGGGCTGCAGGCGGCAGAAGCTGGGCGAGCAGGTTACCTCGTGCCCGTGTGTTGCGTCTCAGTCTGCAGCGGGAGTCCCACCTTGGAGCATCTCAGACAATGTAGCGCATAGTAGATGATGTCGGCTGCTTGCTAGCACCTCTGGAGATAAGCGAGGACTGCTGAGGTGGGGAGGAGCAGGGCCAAGCTTCCGCCCCTGGCTCTGGCACAGCTCTGCCTTTCCTGTCCTGGGTTTCTGCTGCCTACCACGCTCCGCACATGTGGAGAATGGTGAGCTGAGAGGAGGCGCTGAATCTGTGATGCACCCCTGGTCACTGCTCTGCTCACCAGGTCGAAACCATCCAGTCAAGGAGCAGCCTGTGTGAGAGGAACCTCTGACTTGACCTGCAAGCACAGGCCTGGGCACAGGGACTCCAGGGGTGAGCCGTGGGTCGTGCAGAGGCTGCCCTGGAATCCTCTTGCTGAACTGCTAATAAAGAGACGCTATTTGACTGCCTGCCTGTGTTGGTGGGGTGCGCTGCCGCTCAGCCCGCCCGC